AGCCACTTACATGTCAATTCACACCTATAAATGTCAACACAATCAATCGTTTCCAATATTCGTGTCAAGCGTCGCTGCATGCAAATTATTAAAAAAATGGCAAATTGTGCAATAATTACGTGTTGAAAACAGCGGGAAATAGAATTTGAATAAAGGAGACATATCATACAACCGGTAAGTCGAAAGTATTTATATTTTGTGAATATTAGAAACAAAAATAAAGAAATATTGATGTGTCAAAAACATTAATCAAAAGTCTAAAATGTGTAAATTTGCTCAGTATGTCAACACAGCGAATCGGGTTTGTAGTACTGATAATTGATAATACGACGTAATTGCTTGTGTGTGTGCTCCCGGCGACAAAATCATCAATCGTACAAAATAAGGTTGAGCCATTCTATTATGTATTATAGTATTCTATGGTAGGTACCTAGTTAGCTTCTGTACATGTAGCTCTCACCACATACATAGAGTAAATCTACAACTATAGATCTAGTACATATTATGAGATTGTGGGTTCACCGAAAGCTCTCGATAGAGAGTTACAGTGTTCTTTAATCTGTACCTGTAGGTATTATTGTTGACTGTTGTCTGTTTAACAATACAATATAATACAATACAATAACTTTATTTCAGGTATCAAGGACTTAAAAATTAAGAACATTGGCCCATAGCAATATATACCTTAAACTAAAAATATTGTTACGAGCTTGAGGTTCAATTACCAAAATTAACTCTTTAATTCACTTTACACTAATTAAACTTAAAACACTAATAATTAATCACACTGATTCACTTTATTCCGCTCCGAAGCTTCGCTTGTCTCGCCAAATTCAATACTTCCCCGATCGCACCTTGCAGCGCCTATAAATACACATTAGCACCAAAACATCCAGAACATACAAGTAAATACGCGCAAGGTGTCGAAAGTTCGAGTTTCGGCTTCTAGAAGCTTAGTTCTTCGTTTCGACACTAGATGGCGTCAACTTAGTCGCGCAACAATATATATACAATATAAATATAACACTATTTAGGGAACTTTCTTCTTTGGCGCGTCCCTGTATCGGCGAAACACTACCCAGAGGGCCAGAAATCGGGAGCAAGGAATGTCTCTTTGTATTTTGCAGGAACCTGGAGTACGTCTCTTAGACTCCAGACACTGCAAATGTAAAGAGATCGGATCCTCTATGCGGCATCGGCTTTGTTCTTCCACGAAACGCAGGACGTCTTCTCCCGACATACTTTTGTCCAAACGGGAGATGTAGAGCTATATGGTGGGCTCCACAATACGCAGAGTTGTACTTGCGTTTATTTTGGCGGTCCCACGCTGGTTACAGACGACCCGTCTGTAACCTTAACTATTTTTATAAAACTGCTAAAAACAACAAAACCATATCTTGGGCTTGCCCTAATTTGAAACCCTAGCTTCACCACTGTATATACCCCTATTACACTACACTGAATCAAGGCCCTGAATTCAGGGTGGCTCCTAATTAAGGACTTCAGTTATTACATTACACTGATTTTACGCCCTAACTCATTCATAGGGATGGGAAAGTCAAAATAATATCGTTATTTATTGTATCTATATTTTTAAATAGTATCGATATGTACCTATCGCGTGATAAATATTGATATATCATGTTTTGCATGAGTTAGTAGGATAAGGTCCAAAATTTTATTACTGGAGGTTAGGACGACGAAAAATAACACGACAACTAATATAAAAGAAAAGAGGAGCAGAAGAAATATATGAGTTAAAGAGAATTTAAAACTTAAAGAAAATCACTACTCCAGTATGCTGATTATCGGAGTTCTAGAGCTAAATGAATTCCGAATACCTGAGAATGGAGCAAGAGGAGTTTGAGGAGGTATTAAGTTTAGTACCTTATATCGAAAAACAAAATATGATTTTAGGACAGAATGTAAGTGCAAGGCAAAGATTATTTGTGACTTAAGGATTTCTAGCTGTACGTGCACGTATTTGTTTGCATGCGCTTTGTGTTTCAAAGAGTATTAGCTACTAATAAATTAATTTGTTATTTAAAAATTTATGATGGCTAAGGTATTTAAGAATATTTAAACTATTAAATAGCTTATGTACATACGTCTTAAAACTAGATTGATGTTGTTTTGTAAAGACTGCTATAGAGTTTATTTGAGAGTTGAATGCTAATCTGTGCACAAATAAAGTCTGATTCTTTAATTACCTATATCTATCTATATTAAGTATGTATATAATTACTCTAAGATATTAAGTCATGATTTTACTGGTTTTGGCAGCAACTTAACCGTCGACAGATTGTTACTCATGTTGTATCGTTTAAATAATGGTTTCAGGTGGATTTGATTTGTAAAAGTGATGCAATATTGTATATTAAGTGCCTGCACATGTAAACTAATAGAGAAAATGGCGAAATAGGTACTTCAGTGTTGATATAAACCTCAAGTTATTTTGATCGCTTAGGTAGTGATGGTCGACTCGAGTAACTAACTCGAGTTAACTCGAGTTGGGCTTAACTCGAACCAACTCGAGTTGAATTCTCTTTGACTCGAGTTTAAAAACCGAACGAAACCGACATGGAGCAAAGTTTGCCGAAGAAGTTTGTTGTAGTTTTTCGTGTTGTAATTTTTGTTTTTGAAAAATACCGGCTCCTAAAAGAAAATCTTTGGTCAGGTTAAATCGCTTTCTGCAACATTGCCACAACTGGATTCATCTCGGCCAAATCTGGATTCCAATAAATGGATAATAGTAGAAGACGTGGTGGCACTTTTACGCCCTTTCGAAAATGTTACTGTGATTTTATCAGGAGAAAAATATCCAAGTTTGTCTTCTGTTATTCCTCATGTACATGGACTACGAAAAGCTATAGAAAGCAAGACGCCAGTAACGGAATTGGCCAAGAATTTAAAAGGAAGTCTTTCTGCAGTAATAGAAAAACGACTTGCAGTATATGAGACTAATAGAACAGCATCAAAAGCAACCTTTCTCGACCCACGCTTTAAAAAAAATACGTGTGGCACTCGGTGACTGTCGCGGTAAAGCTATTGCATAGCATTTTTTAACAACTTATGCAATCATAATTATTTATTTATTTTATTTATGCAGTTAAGTCTTTGATATTAAATCAAGTTACACTTTTTGAGCGTGGTGACCGATAAGAAAACAATTTTTTTTTCTCTTATTGAATAAATGAGAAGTTAATATTGTTTAAAATATTTTTAATATCTTACAATACATGTAGGTTATTCAGGAATTTTTATCATTGAGTTAGCAGCTAGTGTACACGCATACGTCTAGTCGCACGCACACAAACTCCATGCCGAAGTCTGCCGAGTGCGGAAGTCTGCCGAACCGAAACGACGTTAGACGATGCACGGCTTTCAACGCCACACCTCCGTGCCCGTCGGAGTGGGGAGCGTGAGGTTTTCTTTCGTTACGGAATTTCTGGATTCGGTCCCCGCGCTCAAGGCCCGCGATAGAAGCTATGCAATAGCTTAAAAGGTTTTACGTTACAAAGTAATGCCAATAATGTTTTTTTTACTATTAATGCGAAGGTGAGGGAATAAATTGGTAAAAATTTAAAAAAAACCATTAAGTCTTCCATCTAGTTAACTCGAGTTATAACTCGTACGAATTAACTTGAGACCTGGGCTGATGACGTAATTGTCAATGTACGGTGTGCAAAATAATGCGTCGTAATATTTTTTATTTGAATTTTTTTGAGATTTGCATGAGATTATTAATAAAAACAAAGTAAAATGTTCTGGCAAGGGGTGAAGTAATAAGTGATATACTGTTGCCATTTTTATATATTTTAAATATTTATTTTTTATAATATATATAATATTATTTTTAGTTAACGCGTCAAGGAAGGACAAAGAAATAAACATACACACTTTCTCATTTATAATATTATTAATTTATTTATTATACACCCTCGTTTATGTATTATACAGCCTCGTTTATCATTCTTAGTAGTGTTGCCTTTGATATGCCTGTTGCTGCACAAGCCCTCTTTAAAGCTTGGTCCACAGGAATAAGAAACTTTTTATTTGATTTTTCATCTTCGTGTGTGTCTGTGTCCGTGCTTGGCTATGTATTGTCTTTCCTCCCATCTTTTTTTAAAAATAAAAAAGGCGGAGTAACTCCTAAGCGTCACAAGAAAACGGCACAACGCAACGTCCAAACTTAACAATAAAACAACGCAATTAACAACAAACAAATAAAATAACGTTCAAGTATAACAAAAACAAACAAAAGTCCAAACCAAACAACAAACTATTATCAAAAATATCTAACTAGAGTCGATACGCGTATCCGTAACAAAAATGCTATCGGTACTGAGCGCGCATGGCCAGCGCGGACGCGTTGCGGGGAGTCGGGAAGGGGGTCGCTATCCAGCGGAGTATCAAGTTGATTCGTACGTGTTGTACGTAACTCGAGTTCAACCCGAGTTACGTGAATTTTAACTCGGGTTAAATCGAGTTTCGTTTTTTCCGAGTTGGCACATCATTACGCTTAGGCGCCTTATGAACTTGAGTGACTGTCGTCATCGACTGTTCGATGGGTTAAGCTGTCGTCGGAATCTCCTAAAAACTTTGTCATATGACGCGTTAGAATATTGTAAAGAAAAAATCTATAAAAACGAAGGTCTCGGAATCTCGGATGAAATGAAGTCATGACTTGAAAGATAAGCATTCAAGCTAAGTTTCTTAATAAAAAAAATATGTTTTTACTCTATGAGTTTGTGATTTGGTTTTTGGCGCACGCGGAAGAGGAACTGTAACCAATTTCCTTTTCCTATTATTTTTCAAATGTATTTCAATTTTCCTGAGTTTAAAGAAAAGTTTCTGAGCAATTGTGTAGTGTTTGATAACTCCATTTATTAATTAATAGTGAAAAGTATAAACTTGATTACGTCGTTATTGTATAAGCATTACATACAAGGATGGAAGTTACTGATATAAATGATTTATTAAATGTCCGGTCAATTAAGATGGAAACTGGGGAAAATACTTTTGAGGATACATCTGAAGAGGTTGAATCGCCAGATCCTCTATCTATTATTCCACAATACGTAACAGAATCTGATTTAGGTTAGTAATACCTATAATAAATAAACCTGACTCTGGTGCATCATAATCAAACTTAAACATTTTAAGAATTAAATTATAAATATATATTCTAGCTAATAATAATAAAAAATATATTTTTAAATATTGAACTATCATGTAGGTATTATTAAGATCTAGTCTGCCATTTAGGATAATCTGTAAAAAACAAGTATGATGGAACATATTAATATAGAAAGTTTGTAAAACAGGTTACTTAAACAGCAATAGTTAATAAAAAGTAATAATTAAATTACGTTGGCGTAGTATGACTTGTATTCTATTTTAGCATCCTTCTTTAAACCATCACACAAATAATTAACTTAAAGATCAGATTTAACAAGCAAATATTGATAAAGTTTTGAGATCATGGTGTAACAATTGTATTAACAGTATCAATAAAAAGCTTTTTATAGGAACATTTTTAAATTGTATAATTGACACTCTTTATTGCATATTTTCCTAATAAATACTTAAAACTAACTGTCCTGCGGGCAGGGTAAATGTCATGTGACATGAAAAATTTATTAGCATAAACTTTAAACTATCACTTTCTTATCACTATCACCAATGTTAGTAATAATTCCTGTGGCACTGAATTATAACGAATGTATATTTTTACATAAGGATAGAGTAATATTGCTGATTTATCAGAATCAGAGAAGTAAATATATTTAATAAAATCTAACATAACAGGCTTATTATTGTAATTTTTTTCTTCCAGGATTAATGCAGGCTGGAAGTGAAATTCTGCCATCTTCCCTTCAAGTTTTTTCAGACACTCCTGAAGATGAAGACACAATGCAAAGCAATGATTCTAATGGTATGCATCTGATTCATTGTCACATTCTATAAGATAACCCCTTGTGTGGCAACCGGCTAGATTTTGGCCGATGGTTAATTACGCGTGTCTGGCAAGAGACCAGTTTCTAGCCGATCCGCACCTGGGTATTTGGCAGGTAAAATAACCGGCGACAATGATTACTATCACACTTTTACTTATATAAAATTATACATTAAAGAAAGAGGACACGGTACAAAGCTACTAAAGTACTACAATATTTAGAAATTTCGAATAAACAGCCTGTGTGTCAGTCGTATGTGAATTTCACTTTTATGTGTCCGTCCTGGTTTTTGTCCTTTTTTTATTCGTAAATCAAACAAATAGTGAAGTTTGGTGCTATTTTAACATGGAAGGGTTAATAACCAACAGTTTTTAATTCATAATTTAGGGATATGTATCCTTTTTATAAAAAAAAAAGAAAAAAAAATTTCGAACATAAATGGCCGTTATACCTACTTATCTTACATTTATCTCTATTGTTGATTAAAAATACATTACATACTTCCATACTCAACGTTAAAATTATCTCACGCCACTTGACTCGCTCCTTTCTCAAAATAAAAGTAACAATATATGCTATTTTTTGTGCGACACTTGGGTTGCCGTTCATATGATAAGACTGACTGACTGACTAAGACTTTTCTGTTTAATTTTCACAAATTATGTACAAAATAATAAAAAAAATTCAGTTTTCTAACTTTGAAATCGGCTTAATAAAATCTATTAGGTTGTATTCAACTAAGATAAGTACAGAATAATAGCAAATAATATAACAATTCAAATGACATAAGTTTTATATATAGCTCCAATACAATATTTTGGAGAAATTACTAATTTAATCGCCACGCGCCTATATAGCGGAAACTGATGCGCATTATTTGCAAATGGCCGGCCGGCCGACAAGGGGATAAATGTATATTTTTTAAGTAAATTGTAACGAGTGAGTTTTTGCAAAAAAATATGATAAAGAATAGTTTGTAAATGATAGTGATATTATTAGTAATTGTAAAAGACATGTTAAACTTGGCATGATAATAAGAGACAAATAAGCATACCGTACACCTAACGGTTAGTGAATGCTGAGGCTCATGGACATCTATATATATATAATCAATGAAAAAATTAAAAATCATAATGTAGATGTGTTATCAGCCTTGAGGACATACGGAATGACTTCTTACCGCTAAAAGTGTTTCTGATTGTTTACGGTTCTTAACTTATGAAATAATAACTAGTAGACTTACTTTACTAGTCAACTGACTTAATAAAGTTGTGGATTGATTTTTTTACCAGATTGCCTTAGAAGGTGGATAATAATTTTTGCATATGTATATATGTTTGTATGTATCTATGTACGTCTTTTTCTAAAAATCCACACACTGTAGCCTAAACTGCTTGATGAATTTTAAAACATAGGTTGTTTTAAAATTTGTCTTAGTTAAGAAATATGACATAGGTGGTACTGAAAAGAGAATAATTTAAATATCTATACAATAGATTAAATTTTTCTCTTCTTAATAAACTTTCTATGCTGTCTCGTTTTTTACTGTTATATTTAGCTTAAATTACCCCAAACTTGCTTATGTAGGGTAGGGATTACGTTATCGCTTTTTATTAATAATTTTCTTTTTTTTTTGTTTGGTTTTTTTTTGGTTTTTCTTTTTTTTGTATTTTGTTTTTTGTTTATGGTATATTAGTTTTTCTGTTTTTTATTTCGTGCTATATTTTAATGGTTAAAAACAGATAAAAACTATTTGAAACATCTCACAAAGCTCTTAAATTTTGGGATTTTTAAATTGATATATTGCGCTAATGTTAGGGCCTAGTACTTTCCTGAAATTATAATATTATTCCTTAAATTTTATGTCATTCTGGTCAGGGGCGGCGCAAGGCCTAAATTTGTTGAGGCCAAGATCAATTTTGCGAGGCTCCTGATGAATATTTATTATTTTCCATTAATTGTATTTGGGTCTCTAATATAACCTGTCACAAGTTCACAGCTGAACATAGACCTCCCCTAGCTGTCACATTTTACCTGGTCTTTTGACTTCCTTTTAGTGAGGGGTCCCTTGCTCGGTTTACAAGGAGGCTGCTACTCGGGAACCTTTCTTCTCCATAACTTATCGGTTCTTCCAGCTAAGACTGTTCCTTTGCGCATTATTTACTGATACCTTGAACAATGTCTGTAAACCTGGTTCTACTTCGGATATTTTCGATATGGATTCTATTACGCAAAGTAACTCCGAGCATAGCCCTCTCCATAGTTTGCAGAACAACTTTAAGCTTTCTTATGCATTCGAAAGTAAAGGACCATGTCTCGGTTCCATAGGTTATCGCTGGCAACACACACTCGTTGTACACTTTTTGAGATTTTGAGGTTTACTGGACTTCATAATCAATTTCTATTAATCGTTTGACTACTTGGTCGAAGGTAGACTTGCCTAGTGGGTTAATTTTTGTCTCTCATGAAAATACGATCTGTGCAATCTAATTTGTTTGTATGATAGCGCCCACATTGAAGTCATCAAAATTTTTATTTTATTCACATTTAAGGGTAATTAACCTATAAAATATATACTTATTTGCATGATTTCCTCGATGAAGATTTCAACGATATTTGTTATATTAAATCTATAAACAATATATTCCTTCCATATTTGTTACAGACATATTCTTCGAAACTAGTTGTTTCCAAACAACCCCCATATACATGTGACATGAACATATCTTTTTCTGATGACTTAACCATTGGAAATCTAACCATTGGTAGGTTAAACTGAGCATAGTGCTATGTTTCAAATCAGCATATTTTAGAGACTGGAAATCGTGAAGTCTGCATGCAAAACATTTCTTTATGACAGATGAAGCAGTTTAAAAGAGAAATTAGTTTTAGTTCTATATGAGGGCTATCACGGCACAAATATTACTATAAACACCAAAATTTTAAGGTGAACTTCAAATTTAGGATGTATTACTGGATGCATGTTAGTTGCAGAGAGCACAGACAAGAGTGTTATAGATGTCTTAAGTTTTCATCATTCTAGCTTAATATTTTTCTGCAATGAAAATTCTTCTATCTTTCGGGGTGAAAAGCTCTTAGGGCCGTGAGCCCGTAGGCGGTCGCCCACGTCGCCCAGCCGTGCGCCGCCTGTGATTTTGGTATACCATATCTTTTGGAAATAGTAAAAATGCAATAAACGGAACAAATTCTGCTCATAAGAACATTTTTTACAATTTCCAGAAGAAGTGATAGTCCAACTAATGGATATCAGAACAAGGCTAGCTCGCTTGAGATCTATGCTGGAACAGAGGCTTTGTGCTGACTTATCGGACTACACATTCTGGCTTCAGGATGCTAAAATGGTAAGGCCTATTTATGCTAGAAAAAATTAATATTGCATTATTATCTAAGTTGTTAGGGGCAATAACTGGTCCACAACTGACATCCAAAGAGTTGACCCTGACATGACTGATATATTTTACAACTTCAAATAAATTATATTTTTTTGATGTTACTGATTGGTGACTTGACAGTGATGTGATGGTGACGTAACTGATGTGTGTGAACCTTTACAAGGAAAATATTTTTTTAACAGCTAGAGAATCACAAAACCTTAGTGGAGCAGTGCATAAGAGGAGAGGGTGTGGTACAAGTTAATGTTCAGATAAAATCAGCAGAGAAAAAGATTAATATTCTAGATGTTCTCAAACCTGATGAGGAACTTGTACAAATACCTCAACAGACAGAAGAAGATTGTAAGTAAAACAAATTTTTTTACATTACTGGTTTTCTACTAAGATAAGAGTAAGGCTTAGATTAATGGTGAATGGTTATCAACAACTTGTTGAAGTCATCACAATGATAGTAACAAGAATGCCATTAAATTTAAAAAAATACTGTGCGTTAGTCATGTAATGGAATCCATCACCCAATTTTGTCCCTTGGGTGTCATAAGAGACGACTATGGGAAAGAAATAATACTTAAAAATCTCATGAATTGCGACAGATGATATATCCATCCCTTTAACGCCAGACAAAAAATATCCAGACCAGCGACAGAAAGTAGTTCTAAAGGCAATGTAACTGCGATCGCCAATCTGCCTGCAAACTGTGATGATTAAGGTAAATTCTTCCTACCTATGTCTACGTCCAGCAAAGAACTTTAAGGGGCCAGTAAAAAAAAAGAAAGAAATATAAAAAAACATATATGATTAAGCGACAGTAACTTATTTCATTCAGATAGTGTTGAAAAGGCCCCAGTTTTATACGTGGTAGAGCGATGCTGCAGTTATATTAGTTGTATAGTTGTAGCACGAATACATTTATATATATTTATAATAGGCAGGGGGTGGGGTACATTGAACTGAAAAAATTCTTGAAAACCTCAGCTTTCCTACCAGTATTTACTAAGATGCAACGGTTTTAACAAAACGGGGAAAATTCAGTTTTTTCACATTTTTCAAGTGAAATTGCGAATGAAATAATGTTCAAATGTCTTGACGGAATTTTTAAGAAAGTGTATTCCAGTTTTTGAAACCTTTTAAAAACTGGTTGTTGAGATATCAATGGTTGCAGACAAAAGGATCTTTTTTCCTTCAGTTTTGGATATCTCTGCTACTAACGGGCGTAGCAAGAAAATAAAAAAAGAAATTGAAGCAGAATTAATAGGCTATCTGGTCCATATGATTGTTCAATCGAAAAAAAATTTTCGCGCTATTTTGTTGGATTACCTTGAAAACTTCTTGAAAAATTTTCTTGGAAGGACTCCAAGAAATATTTTTGTCAAAAAATCAGAAAACTAGAATCTTAGAGCTACAATACACTCTTTTTAGAAGTCTACAACCATTTTCACTGAGATACAGCTCGTCAAAAATCACCAAAAAATTTGGAAATTTTTTTGCTTCCCTAATTTTTGTGAGAAGTGTATACCAACCCGCGAATCCACGACTTCATAACTTCAGGCCGTCGTGCGTCTATTTTATGTACCACCTTGAGAGTCAGTCAATTTGGATAAAATGACTACTCCTATAGAATAAAAAAAAATATTTTGACTTATTACACTTAAGGATTGTAACATTTATGTATTAGTTATAAAATTTTTCTTTGTCGTATCTTTAGTATTTTTTTATTATAAAACTTTTTATATTTTATGCCTTACTTGTGGTTGAAAATGACCGTATTAAATCAATCTTAAAAAAATTACACGTCGTAGAGCCATGCTGCAGCTATATTAGTAGTATAGTTGTAGTACGAATATGTAGTTTGTACGCTCGACTGGGGAGGGACCACGCTCTCACAGAATACCAACGTAAAATAACAGTTTGACGCTGCTGTGTAGAGATGAATCGTACTAGGTAAATTTCGTACTAGGTGCACCTAGTCCCATTCCGTATAAATACTCGATCCAAATACCTGTTCCACCTAGTCCATAAAATACCATAAAGCACCAAGTACGCAAAGTAAAGTAGTAGTAAAGTTTAGTATTGTTGGAATAGTAAGTAGAATAGGTTAGTTTCCTGTATGTACTTATTATACCTACTCTTTGGTTTCAAGTACTATGTTTTACGTGCGTGCTCCTGAAACATGTGCAATAATGAATTGTAATCTTCCCTTCATACTTTACAAAATTATTACAATTATTCTCGTAACTAAATTACGAGAATTAAGATTATACGAGAAATAAATTAAGATAATTTACTTCAAAAGCTCCCTTCCGCCATACTACTTTCTTTATTCGATGTAGTACTTCAAAGTACGTGTAAATGGCGCGTTTATAGAATTATTTCATATATTGTGAAATTTGTTTTTAAAAGATTTTTATCTTTGATTTATTTGAAAAACTCTATAATGGGAGTACTCGCCTATTGATTTTGTATTTCTTGATTATAAGCTGCTATGTTTTTTTTACTATTGCTATAATTCTATAATAGGTTGATGCAGCTCATAATCACGGAAGGAAGACTAAATAATTTTATTTATCTCATCATATAATCTTACATAGTAACGTAAATTGTTTTTTTTTTAGAATAATGTTTGCATATTTCTTATAATAACATTTAAAAAAGAATTGTTGTGAAAAACAAAAAATAAAAAGTGAGTTTGTCAGCTCCGGCGCACGACTGAAGTTTACTCCTTACGAACGATTATAAAATATATAGATTAATAAATGAACGCATTTTTATACTACTGAAAGCATGCATGATACATTTACTTATATTAATTAAATAATTTATATTCATCAAAATATATTACATAATTATGGAAACGTAAATTGTTTATGTTTTCAATACTACGTTATGTAGTCAAGGAAACATGAAAACAGCGTCCACCGAGATCACATTCGCATGAGTCCGTACCGTACTAGACAACAGACACTCGCCTACCTTGTAATCTTGTACTAGTATTTGGTTGAAGTCCCGTGTCCCGACTAGTCTCGAGTATTGACAGACAGATAAAAAGACTGCGGAATAGTGTAGTTAAAAAAGGACAGAATATATTCTTACACAACACGAGTGCGCGTCACGTTACTTTTATGTGCATTGAAATTTGGTTCAAATTCAAATGACTGACAAACTAATGACTTAGACAAAATCGACCCGAGTTGATCGCCTAGTAACTACAGTCTACGGCAACAAAATACAAGTATGACGCGTAGGCACAGTGAGACTATATGGATCGCGTATTTTAAAAGTTGGAATAGGTGCAACCTAGTCTAGTTAAATACTTAGTCCCCGCATCTGTTCTAGTATATACGCTTCATCTCTACTGCTGTGATTCGTATGGCGAGTGTAGAGAACCGGAGACCTTTTTTATTTGAAACTAGGCATTTAACCTTAGTCCTCACGGGTGAGAACGCATCTGCATTTTGATTCGTAATTGAGGATAGATGTAGATATCTATGTTCCACAGCAAACACTTACCAATGGTGGACTATGTGCTCGTTTGTCACACTATAGAAAGATCATTTGCCGTGAAATATTTTCATTTTATATTATATTTAAAAGTTTCACTTCTATCGCGTGTAAACTGCACACTTGTTTTTTTATTGGATATCCTGTGTTATTTTTCTTTCTTACAGTTGCGACTATAGAACTGCAAGATGAAGAATCTGTGCACAATGCATCAGAGTTGTTTCAAGCCCCCATGGAGGCGGAATCTTCCCAACCTCACGCCGCTGCAGTTAAATGGGTCGTTGACGCGCAGTTTCGGACTGATCACAGCAGAGTTCACATTCCAGATGACCCAGCTGATTGGTGAATATCACATCATGGCCTTATTCGCTAACTTTGTTGTCATCATAATTATAGTCACTCTGTAGTACATTGTGTCTACTAAAATAATAAACGTGAGCGAGAGGCACGGACCATGCAAGATACGCCCTATACAACATGTAACAAAAACCCTGTGGTTGCCGTTAAGTGCGTTATCAGAATCAGTATCCAAGTGTATAGAATTTTTATTTTCAAAAAACATTTAAAAAAATAATTTTAATTGGAAAAAAAAAATAATTTGCAAATTATATGTGGTTTTATTTCCTCTAATTCACACGAGTATCGATAATTCGGGGTCTTTGACAATCCTCTTACTCCTCGGCCAATGCAAACCACATACAGTTTGCAAATTATTTTTTTTTCATAAATTTTTTTTAAATGTGTTTTTTAAAGAAAAAAAATTCTATACCCTTGGATACTGATTCTGATAACGCACTTAATGGGAACCACAGGGTTTTTTGTTACATGTTGTATATTGGTAAATGGAATTGTGTCTCTTTCTTTACCGGCTTGTAGATGCTGTGTTTTATATACGTCTTCAATTTATTCATAGATAAGTGAATGGATGAATGTTGATGACATTCGTTTTTGGAGAACATGTTGCCGCTTACATGTCTACACCCCTTATGCCAAACCCCATCCATACATTACAATAACCAAAATAATTTCGTATTTTCAGGTCGGTCCAACATGTGAAACTATGGATCCAGTGGGCCGTCCGGCAGTTTAATTTAACGGGAATAAAACTGTCGGATTGGAACATTAGCGGGACAGAGTTATGTGCTATTAATAACGTGGATTTTAAGTATGTATAGTCTAATGATTTCTTATATTTACGCGAACACTACACATTGATTAAAACTACTTTTACGGATTTTATCGCGTTTATTTTACAATTATTTTTATTCCCGACGTTTCGGGCGCTTTCCAGCACCCATGGTCACGGGGGACTGAGATGACTGACGTCCCGATGTCATTGTTAAACCAGGAGTACCTTCAGCTTTTTTAATTATTGTTTATGGTGCGATCTATGCAAAATGAACTGACTATGTCCTTGAGGTCTTGCAGTGATATGCTTGGGTTTAGTTTTAATGTTATTGATTATAGGATCCTAAGCAGGTGGTAGTACCCAGCCTTCTCTTCTTTATTGAAATTAGGATGTTTTTAATTTCAATAGTCTCACGTATCATCCTTGGTAGGAATCGGCGTTCTTTCGCGAGGATTTATGGTCTATCAAATCTGATGTAATGTTTGGGGCCGCAAACTGCAGACTTCCCGGAACGTTGATGCTTCACATCAGCTATATGTTCTTTTACGCGGGTTCTAATTGATCTTTTTGTTTGTCCTATATAAGAGAGACCACATTCACAATCAAGCTTGTACACTCCTATATCTTGTAGAGGAATATGACACTTGACTGATGGTAGAAACTGACTAATCTTCTTCGGCGGCTTGTAGAATGTTCTAATAGAAGCTCGCTTTAAGATGTAGCCAATCTTGTGTGTGACACCTCTGACATATGGTAGTACAGCAGGCACACGCTCGACTGTGGCCGGCTTCACTCGGTCACTGGACGTAGGCGCGGGACCCGAAGTTTGTTGTCGTGCAGAACTTGCTTGATGTGCTGAAGCTCGGCGGCCAGGGGTTTGCTGTCACAGATCCCTCGTGCTCTCTGTAACAAAGATTTGCCCACGGTAGCTAACTGTGAAGGATGGTGGTGAGATTCACCGTTTAAATATCAGTTTGTATGGGTCTTTTTCCTATACACAGTGTGACCAATGGTGTTGTAAGGATTTCGGATGATTAACACATCTAGGAAAGGTAAGGAATTATTTGCCTCTAACTCCATAGTAAATTGAATTTTAGAGTTTATGGAATTAAGATGTTCTAAAAATGCAGTTACTTTGTCTGATGGTAAAATTGTGAAAGTATCGTCTACGTACCGCTTGTAGATCCTTGGTGTAACAGGTGCAGTAAGGAGGGCTTTCTCCTCAAAGTCTTCCATGAATATATCGGCGACAATGGGAGATACAGGTGAGCCCATCGCAACTCCATCTACTTGCTTGTAAAACTCTTCCTTCCACAATAGATAGCCAGATGTAAGGCAATGTCTGAGTAATACTGCATATTCTGCTGGCATATTATTTTCTTCTAGTTTCCTAGTTATAATTGAGATGCAGTCTTCAACAGGTAGGCATGTAAATAGAGACTGAACATCAAAACTCACCTTTCAGACAATTCAAATTGTGTAATAAAATGCAACAAGCATATAATACGTTTATTTTCTTAAAAAAATATATGTAGATCTTTGGGAATTACTAGTGTAATTTTCTTTAAAAAATAAACATATATACACATCTCCATGTGCAATGGAGGTTGAGCCTTTATTTAATGTACTCCAATACAAAATAAGGCGATTTAATTATTCTGTTGTTGTCATTAGTATGTTTACTAAACCTTTTTCTTTTCAGAGAAAAAGTTCCTTCAGATCCCGGCGATTTGTTTTGGACCCATTTTGAACTTTTACGAAAATGCAAATTTATTGGTAAGTTTTATAATTCCATTGATTCTGTGGTATATTAAGTCCAAGAACATTGATAATAATAGGCATTATATTAACTCAATGGGGTTATTACATAATAGGTTTAAGAAACCTTATAGCCCGTACGGATAAAGAATGGGATTATATATGGCGACTGATCGAGGCCGAACCGTCAACATGCATAATACAAATAACGAAAACCTGCTAATAACGGTATATCATTATTATGATAATTAAAACGTTAGGTATATTATTGGGATAATTAAAAATGTTCTATTAATGGGAAAATATTTGGATAGAATTATATACACAAGTAAACAAATTAAATTTAAAATAATTTTTATACCCAGTGACCCGCACTGGCTTCGTTTGGATAAAATTGAATTATTTATAAGTGTAGATTAGTAAATTAATCACGAAGTTAAGTTTATATTAATTTAAATAACAGTCAAGAAAATATTTCAAATAGGACCGACAGGCAAGAAACTCTATAGACATTTATTTTTATATATAATAATCTTTGAAAATTAAATTCTACTACTTGAACCTTCACCAGAATCGTCTGACAACACTTTGATTGCGGACATCCCATTGTTATCTTCATGATCATTGTTAGAATCGGAGCAGCTATCGCTTTCACAATCGCTATTCTTCAAATTAACTCTTCAAATTCATTTTCATTCGTTACCTCCCTTGTCCAAAAATCATTTTCCAATATTTTTATGTGATTAACTTCTTTTCGCCAATCCGCGGCCGTAATTGAGGGCATTGCTTCACGCGCTAATACTTCTATTTTTTCCAGCTTCTTTTCGACCACCTTTGTTTTACCAGATTCCACACATATTCTTTCGGGTTTAGATCCCAGTTTCATGGCCGTGTAGCTGGGAATTTATGTATAGCGTAATCTTTCTCTGGTTTGTATTTTTAACTAATTCTAAAAGCTCATATTTTGTCCATGAATCGTCATAATCTATACCACATTCGCGTGACCAATTTTTATATCTCACCTTTCCGGTTTACTACTGGTGGTGGTTTACTTACTTGCATTCTGTGATACGGCGCATTGTCCATCACCAAGTTGCTATTTGGAGGTATGTTTCGGATTAATTTTTCCTTAATTTATTTAGTGAAATTTTGCCTATTCATTTTATTATGGTAATCGCCTTTTTTAGTTTTGTTTTTTTTTTGCTTAAAAATCATTTCAGCAACCATCAAAATCCGTTTTATGAACCTCCAAGGCAAGGGATAGCTGTCCTTCTTAGTAACGTCGTTCAGATGGCGGTAGTCAAAACAAAAACCGCATGCTGTCATCCTTCTTCTTTACCAGCACCACGGGTGAACACCATGGACTAGATGAAGGTTCAATAACACCATCCTTCACCATTCCCTCAATCATGGTTTCCACTTCCTTTTCACGTGCTACCGGAAATCTTCTTGGCCGCTGACGGATAGGCAATTCTTCACCTGTGTTTATTTTGTGTTGAACTAAGCCAGTCTTTCCTATGTCAGCATCGTTTGATGAGAATACATCGGCATACTTGCACAATAACAATAATCCATCTTCACTTTATCATTCTTTATCTTGTTTTCATTATTCGATATTTACGTATAGTATTTAGTATTATTATAATGGTAATTAGAAAAAATAGAAAGATTCAATAGTAGTATTACCATTTTTAAGATATAAGAAGAAGAAGAACAAAAGTTCGTTGGAAAATCCATTTTTTTTTCGAGATATATTATATAATATAAAGACTCCCTTGGGTTTTAAAATTTTATTTGTTTCATTATTTGCCATTAAAATGACCATTATAGTTACTAATAATTAAAACGTTAAAGTCCTGTAACAAAAAGAGAGATAGATGCAGTAATAGCGTTCCGTTGGGCACTCCGCCGGGTAGTGGCAGTGTAAGAATATCTACTACCCCATATCGTCACGTGGGTTTCGTAAGAGGCGACAGAGAGAAACAATTCAGGAGATAGGCAGAAAGAAGCATCTTCCTAATAACGACTAAAAATAAAAATAAACTGCGGTTGTCAACCCGCTTACGAAGCGTGGCGATTATGGCCAAAATCCTCCATATAAGGCGATCTATGGGGGACGCTTGTGCAGTGGTGGAATTTAGTAGGATGTAACGGTACGATACGAGGCACACTATAGGTACGTAACCCTAACGGTACGTGTACATCAAAACCGATTATGTCGGCCGATGGCGGACAGAACTACCCGGACGAGTAACTCGGACGTGTATGTGCTTACACTGCGACAGTGTACCACTTGTGCCGACATTGGAAGCTGCCGGTATTCTTTTCTACTTTTATATTTTCAATATCCATAGTCGTTTAGGTAGATAACAAGACTGACCAAAACAACAGAATAAAGACAAAATGATTAAATTAAAATGTAAATACACTCAATTTGCACTGTAGACGCCGGCAGTCGGGCGAGAAATCCCAACAAGTTCGGACTCGACGGTTGATCGGCCGTTTTCGTGCTTTTTTTTTGTCGAAAAAGGGGGGGGAGGTGGTGGTTAGGTACTGTCTGTTCTTTAAAACAAGGTTAATATAATTGGTAATCGCTCTTCTTTTTAAGTGAATCCTGTTGCAAGCTTTTATTATATTGCGATGGACGTTCCAGATTTTTCTCTACCTCAAAATGCTTTATTACGTTATATACAATGCAATGTAGTACTTCCCGCGTTTACCTAATAACGTTATACACTCGGCGTCAAAAAAATCGCACATCCGAAAAAAATAATTTAAATACTATTTTAACACAACAGGCCAATGGCAATGTTGTGGTTTGAGGGTATCATTCGAAAGGTAATTTCATTAGCTTTCAGGAATTTTAATTGAATTTTACTTTTATAACGAGACGAAAGAGAAGAAAAAGACAGGGTATGTACAAATTTGCAAATTAATAATTTAAAAAAAAACTTAATAAATACAAAAAAGTTCTTAAAACCTAGTGTTACCCCCCCTTGCCTTGATAACGGCTTCCATGCGATTTTTCATGGACCTTACAAGGGTCGCAACAGCCTCTTGGGGTATTTGTTCCCACTCTTCAAGTACCGCATCTTGGAGCTCTTGGAGAGTGGTTGGAGCTGGATCTCGAGCTCGCACGCGCCGTTTTAGGTCATCCCAGAGGTGTTCTATGAAGGTTTGGCATAACAGGGATATCGACCTCCTGTAAATAATCCCGTACAATAGCCGCGGTGTGGCAACGAGCATTATCATGAATGCATTAACATGAATCCATCACCGACATAACCAGCATACGGGACCACATGTTCCTCCAGGATTTCAGTAATGTACCGACCAGCATTTAATGACCCTTGCCCACGGCCACCCCGAGTCCGGGAAACGCACACAAGTTCCGTTTTCCCGTCGACGGAAATGCCGCCCCAAAACATACACGAGCCACCCCCGTATTCGACGGATTCTCTTCGAAGCAGGTTGTGCTCCCCCTGTCTTCTGTAGACCCTTCTACGTCTGTCATTGCAGAAGAGACAGACCCTCGTCTCATCAGAGAAGAGTACGGTCCGCCACTGTTCTAGAGTCCACTCGCAATGATTGGGCTGTTAAACTCTTTTCGTGTAACCTTCTTCATCGTAGAAACACTCACAGTGTTCAGAGTTGATCGAAGCTGTTCTTGCAACTCAACAGCATTTGTAAAACGGTTTCGTAAAGATGTCGTAACGATGAAACGGTCATCTCTTTCTGATGTGCACCGTTTTCTTCCAGATCCCGGTTTTCTAACATAACCACCAGTCTGCTGAAAACGTTGGAACACCCGTCGAACTGAAAAACGGGACAGGTTCAACTGTCGAGCAACGTCACACTGCCGCATCCCCGACTGCAATAGGGCAATCACTTGGGTGGCTTCTTCAGAGCTGGTGTCCATCTTTACTTGTTCTTACTTGGGTTACTTGTTCACGTGTGGTCACTGCAAAGTCTAAATTATGACTGACCCATATTTCATCCAGATCGACCCTTTTTATACCCTTTTTAGGTGATGTAACTAGCGTCCTTTACTAACGAGCATTTGACGTGTTTATTTTTGGCGCTCTATAATGATAAATGTTTTAATGATTTCATGATTTTTTTATTAATAATGTAAAACTATTCAAATACCCATTTCAAACATACCAATATTTATATAAATATAATTCGTTTCTAGCCATTACAGCCATTTTTTGCGCAAACTCAGAGAGGTGCGATTTTTGTGACGATGAGTGTATGTATATATGTTTACCAAATAACAAAAACGAAATAACTAACAACGCTTTACAAATTACTAATAAAACCAATAACAGCGACCTAAAAAAAAGTATATACAAAATCGACAATAATTGTGTTAAAAACTCTTAGATTGTGCCTAGCTCACAACTTTGCTGAAGTTATAGCACGTACGAAAAACACATATCGTAACATATTTGTTTGTAGTCTCTAACGCCGGGTGTGAGTATATACAAAATAAAAAAAGTATATACAAAATCGACAATAATTGTGTTAAAAACTCTTAGATTGTGCCTAGCTCACAACTTTGCTGAAGTTATAGCACGTACGAAAAACACATATCGTAACATATTTGTTTGTAGTCTCTAACGCCGGGTGTGAGTATAGATAGCGACAGTGTGCGAGCGAGAGGCAAATAGAGGCGACGCCATTTTCAGTCCTATTCTTTAACCGCACGAGTTGTATTAGAAATCACTCTCAAAATTATTTACATGAATGAGGGAACTTTTCTTGGTAATAATTTTCGTTATAAAACATCTATGGAACACAGTAAGCAATTATAAGTAATTATTATATATGCACCATGAATGGATTGGCTCAACCGTTGAAGAACTGTATCAGAATTTTGTATTGTGGTAACAAGATATTTAATTATAGACTTTAGAGGTGACAACGCATCTGCTCATTTTGAATCTTATTCGAGAATAGATGTAGAGATTTGTCACCCTATCCTATGAAAAAAAGATGTCTATGGGCACAACATCCACTTTTTGATAAAAGAACGTTACACCTCCCCTCTCCTTAACTTCAGGATTTTCTTCTATTGCGTATAAAATACCTCTAATTTTACATTTATGTGTTGCACATGCACACATCTAAATATTGTACAAAAATTTGTAGACCATATCAACACTTGTTCTGTGAACCTTATATATTTATTTATTATATTTTATTTTATTATTATAAAATGTTTCTTTAAACTTTATTGTTATTTGTATTTCAGCTGTAGTCCAAAATGATGAACCTACAGTTAAAGATATGCTGGATACTCCACAGTCAGCAATTAAGAAAAAACCTAAGCAAGTTTGTATTTTATTTAACCATTGTATATTTAACCATTGTATACCGAATTTTCGGGGCGTGAAAGTTACGCCTCACAGTCTGCTTTTTCTTTTTGCTTTCTGGCTTTCAGCTTTACAAATTCAGCCTAAACACAACAGAGAGTAGTTTTGTGGTTTCAAGAGATAAACTACTGCTTGGCGACAGTTAGAAGTAAGAGGGTTGTACTTATCCTAACGGATTTTGGCTAACTAACTAAGTCAGTTGGCTATCTACAATGGTTAACACTAATATAAGAGCACATTTTTCTATTATTATTGTCAAATCCTCACTGATAAGCATTAAAACAAGACGTAATTGACCAAGGCCCAGACATTGTTAGAATTATTGTGCCAAAACGAATCTGTTTGGCACTTTACTACAGATACTTTGATGTAAATGACATTTCAGAGATGTGGCCGACACAATATATATTACATAATTTTTTTTAAAGAATCATGTCCAGTCTTGACCTGAAAATTTTCCATCGCGTCTAGTGATGTAAAATATCTTATAAAATTGCAGATTTTTTTTCTTATTTCGTATCGCATAATTGTATTTTCAAATAAAGCCAGGAAAAAAAGGAATGTTACTTTGTTTATCATTCTCAATAGACTTTTGGAGACTGAACGTGTTTTACAATGGCTCAAAGGCCCAGAAGCCGTGAAAAAATACATTAAAATGTGTTTTACACGTTCCGTTTCGGATTACGAAAAACTTGCTCATTCGTCATGTGGCTTATGAATGTTCTTTAATTTTTTTTATAACTAATTAATTTATGATTAGATACGATTTTAATGGTTTTTTACTATGGTGTGGAAAGAAAAATAAGTATACAGACCTTATCTGACAGCTGTTATAACCTCAAACTTTTATTTACTTAATAGCATTTTTCCCTGGCCTCTAAATGAAAAGATGATAAGTTATTATGTTATTATAAACAATAATTGTTTTTATACAACAGTAGTTGAAGGTAGACGCGACCTGTTAACGGAATCAAGTGAGTCATTCAATGTATGGAAAGTGGGCATGATTCTTTATTTAATATACAAACCTTTCTTAGCTCAGATGGTTAGCGTTCGTTGTAAATTTTACAACACGCTTGCAACCCGAGTTCGATCCCTGCTGGCATGAATGAAATTGTTAATTGCACTTTTAAGTGCTGATTTACCACGTGCTCGGCAGTGAAGGAAAACATTGTGAGGAAACCTGTATTTGTGAGAAATGACAAAAATAAATGTTTCGGAGACATGTGAAGTTCGCCAACACGTATTGGGGCAGCGTGGCGGACACTTCCTTGCCCTAAAATCCTCTCAGAAATGAGAGGATGCCTGTGCCTAGCAATGGGACGTATATAGACTGTAACTTTAACTTGAAGGGTACAGTGGCAAAACAAGGAATGTCACTAAAACAGGTTTTTGTGTAATTAACATTTTAATGTTTGAAAGTTTATAACTTTGTCTTTAGGAACTTTAGTTTACCTTACAGAGATCGGCTACGGATACAAATAAACTTTTGGCAAATATCAACATTTAGTGTAAAATTTGGAAAAAAAAAGTAATAAACTTTTATAAAGTACTAAAACATGGAATGTCCTATATAACCCATACAAGAAATGTCCAAATCTAGTACTATGTACGGGTAATGTCTTCAAAACAGGCTTGTGCTTCAACAGAACAAAATATTTTTAAGTCCATAGGGTCCTTGAGCTGATCTGCACTCATTGGCAAGTAATTTTGGTAGGCAAATCCAGTTTATAGGAAAGTTTTTTCCATCATGAATGTAAAATTGAAAGAATAAAGGAAAAGTGCATGTATTAATTAAATTAAAATATAATTTTTAATTTATTTTAATATGTATAATAATCCAAATGCTAAGACTCTTAAAGTAAGGTATGGCCAAAGCAATGAGAAGAATAAATATATATAGAAAAATACATTGATATTTGTATTGAGGGCAGTCAAAGATAAAGATTAAAAATAAACGTGTATTTTTTCTCCGAAATTTCTCAAAAGTACTATATTTTTGCATCCTTTTTAGGAAAAATACTATATTTGCAAAAAAAGTGACAACCCTACCGACAAGGCAATCACAACAACAAAACATAACCTCTTTTCATCTGAGATCACAAAGTACATTGTATATCTGAAGAAAGATCTACAAGAAATCTGACATTTACAGTTGGACATTCCGTGTTATGTTCCGTTTCACTATGGACATTCCCGACTTTTGCATGTGTACAGGGTTTTGAAATATTGAAGATACGTAAGACTATGATTGTTTTTATGCTTTTTACATAATGCTACAGAGAAATACGCGTGAAAACTTAAGTGTTGCTATACTTAATTTATATTTGAATTTTTTGTTACATTCCTTGTTTTTGGCCCCTGTACCCTTCACTTAATGCTTTATACTTCTTCAGCAGAAACTGTGATATTAAATCACAATATTAAAAAAAATTAAGATATTCTGTATCATATCATACAATATAAAATAAATAATATTACAATCTAATCTACTATAGTATACTTTAATCTTTTTTATTTGAATTTATCTGATTTTTATTAATATCTATACTTGTTGAGGGTGCAATGAAGTAATAGAAAGTTTGAAGGCTTCTGAAACCAAGATTTTGAACACTATGATGACAACCTAAAATACTACAAAATGATAGTAACTTTGTATTACATTGTATTGTATATATAGAACTACCATAAGAGCTACTATCGCTTTTAAAATATATGACGCAATGTACTACGAAATGAGTATCATTTAAGTGTCAACAAAGTTTGTGAATAGGTCTGATGGTTGTGACAAATCTAGCAATTAGATTGTGTAATGGTTGACGAAGCAGGAAAAAGAAATATTTATTTATTTAACAAGTACACTTACAATTAACATATTATATTATGACATTATCACAGCATCCAATCAATAGAGTAAGAAAAAATCTATTGAAAAAAGAAATTGGTTTAATTATTGGGAGATAACATGGTAGATATTATACTCTGTTCGGGAGTATGCACATTTTTAATTAAAGTATAAGGTATATGATCATATATATTTTGAAATATATGTATCTCATAAGATTATGGATAAGGTGAATAATTCCATAACACGACTACAAATTAAAAATATTATCTAATGTATATATTGCTTAAATGCAGATGATTCTTCGCGAGTGTAACGAGGATGACGCATGTCAGTACGTCACCACTCGAACCGGTTACAACGGACAGATCCAGTTGTGGCAATTTTTACTGGAACTTCTCACTAGCGCCGAGTACTTCGATGTGATACGGTGGCACGGTAGGTATTGTTTGTGAATATTATATTGTTATGTTTTGTAAACGTTGCATTCTTTGCCCGCAATTATCTAGTGAAAGAGTAATTAAGCGGGGTTAGTCCGCCGTGCTGCGACAGCTCATGTTAGAAGACGTCACCGTTGTGAAAGAGATCTAGTGGTAGAGCCATGCTGCAGCTAAATTGTGGTTGCAGCACGAACGGGCCGGCTTGAACGTGGTAGGACCACGTTCTCACAAACTACCAGCGTAAAATAGCAGCTTTACGCTGTTGTCTTTTGTATGGTGAGTGTAGAGACCCGAGACTGGAAACAAGTCATTCCTAGTCCTCAGGGGTGACAGCGCATCTACCATTATTTAATTATTAACTGAGGATAGATGTGAATGTTTACGGGCCACAGTGTCCATTGTGTAAAATAAGTAAAAATAATGTGTCTAGTTTTGTGCGTCCGCTCTTGTTCGGAGACACAGCTGTGTTTAACCTTCAAATCGGTCGGGACGACATCATCATTATTATAACACATTCGCGACTTTATGATAATTTATTTGAATGCCTCGAGCAGGGATTATGCATTCCTCTGTAGGAAAAACTCAACAAAGACAAGCTAAGAAGGCACGTTTGTATACTGTTGTTGCGTGGAAGAGCTACTCAGATCTGCAGCTACGTTATAGTTTCAGCGTGAATTGGTCACTTTAAGCAGTGAGGGACCACGCTACCACAGAATATTTGCTTGTTAGATTTACGACATTCATTTCTAGTGACCCGATCATTCATGTATTGATTCGTCTTAGGAACCGGGTAATTCGGGTCGATCATTCAAATGTACTCTATGGTCGTAGGTCCTGTCAAAAGTTTGAATATTCAAAATATGTAATAATTAAATTGCAATTATCAATACTCTGATGCCACCCGGTTCAAATAAACCAATCATTCACAATTGACACATGTTGCGTATGGTGAGTGACGGTAATCGGTGAGAGCATGGAAGGGCCACGCCTATCCAGAATGCTTGATATGTTTCGTATGTTGAGTGAAGAAAACCAGAAACAATTTTAACTGGTAACGAGGCATTGCACCATAGTTGGTCATATTTTGCTCACAGGTACAGAAGGTGAATTCAAACTGTTAGAACCGGAACGGGTGGCGCGGTTATGGGGTGCGCGCAAACATAAACCAGCCATGAATTACGAGAAATTGTCTCGAGCTCTCCGTTACTACTACGATGGAGACATGATCGCTAAAGTAGCTGGAAAAAGGTAAATATACACAGAAATCGTAATAATAAGACAATAGAAGTCGCATAGACACGTGACCTTGTCGCCGCTATGATGTGTTGACGAACATCATTTACCATTTTGTGATTTAGTTGCGCGGTGAACGTTGTACGTGAATTTATGATATTATAAATTTATAATGGTGAACTGCCGCATAATCAGTTGTAAAAACTCATCAAGGAGGTTGTAATTCAACTAATAAATGCATAACATTTCATCGGTAAGTGGATTATTTACTAATTTTCATTGTTTTAACTAATTTACATCTAGATGAATACTTTACTAAGATAAGACTTTGTAAACTCATTTATTACTTTTCGTATTGTACAATCACCATTGCTGGTTTTGTTCTACCGTAATACGCGACACACGCGACGTTGACAAACTCGCCAAGCAATGTAATGTGAAACATTAGATATCATTGTGCATTGCGTATGTTTATAATACGGTAAGATGTGGCAATATTGGTTTTGGAAGTAATCGAGTGCTAATTCATTTCTATTGTCTTATTATTACAATTTCTGTGTAAATATATTATTAGATTTGGTATCATGTCTATATTTTTAGCAGACTTCAAAAAAGGATGGGCTTCTCAACTTGACTGTAGACTGTATGCTTTTTGTATGTATGTTGGCCAAATTGTTCAACCTTTTTAATTTAATTATTTAAACTTCATTTTACTAGTTACCTTGACTTTGTGTGTTGCTTACAGAACTAAAAATAATAAAATAATTTCTACATAAATAGCTTCTGAAGTCGGTGCTTTCATTCTTTATACACTTTGTCTTAGCACCGACTTCAAAAGGTCATAAGTGAAAATTATTTAATTATTTTTAATTATTTGAAGTGGATTTTGACTTTTTATCAAAACTTTACTTGTAACTGTTTGTCGAGACAGCTTTGAGGAACGTGCGCCTATACTCTCGCAACTATAATAATTGTTATTTGAACTTAGGATATAAAACTTGAGTAAAAAGCAGTTAAAAGTAACTTAAAAAAACAAACTTTACCGACATGCAGGATTCCTCACTATTAGGAGGTCTGTTTTTTTATCTCTCTCTCTGTTAAGACTGGCTGCCATGTCTGAAATTCTGTCTGGAGAACAGTATTATTATTATGATACGAGACGGGTTTTCGAGGGGTACGTCCAACGTCAGAAGGGCAAAAAATATATTTAGTATAAAATATGGGGAGTGAATGTCAAAAGTAACAAAAGGCATTAAGTCCGCCCTTTCGTTTCACCCTGTTTACCGTGTTACCTCTAAAAGTTGAAAGCTGGTGCTACTCATGTGGTCCCATATGAATTTGATCAAAATCTGACCAGTAGTTTTAGAGTTATCCTTAATGATGCGTATTTAATTAACTTCGGATACATTGCTGATGTTCTCATTTTATTTATATTGAAGTCAGTTTTTTTTAATTTTACCTATTGTTACTAAGATGAATTATATAATAAAGAGAATTAAATATATTGTCACCTAAAAGTAACTTTGTTTTACCTTAAAGTGAAATAAATAATTATATATTTTTCGTCAACAGGTTTGTTTACAAATTCGTATGCGATTTGCGACAGTTGTTGGGTTACGGCGCCGACGAGCTGGCAGAACTGGTTAAAGAGGTTTACGACTCGAAAGAAGAGGATGAACAAAGCTAAAAAAAATTATATTAAAAGTTAGTTGATGACTACAATGGTTACAACATCGATTAGAATGTGTCTATCGACCATTATTAACTAATTTTAACTTTGTAGAGCGTCGTTCTTTTCATTTATATTCGTATGAGGTTTTGTCGCGGACTTGTTAAGTTGTTGTACCTACGGGTTTTTTTTTAAATTTATTTATGTACACACATCAAGATACACAATCAGTCTTATCGTAAGTCCGTACAAAGGTTCTACTCATTCCATAATTTGCTGAAATATCTTCCAGTAGACCAGTGGCGAAGCTAGGGCTCCAAACTAGGGCAAGTCATGGTTTTGTTGTTTTTAGCAGTTTAATAAAAATATTCAGTGCTGTCAAGGACGTGTTTAACAAAGCACACAGAAAGCATACTACCGCTAGATAGATTGTATGACATATGCAATTGAACACCTTCGGTGGTTTTGAAAAGATCCGTTTGGGTTTGCTTGAGATATTTACAAACAATACAATACATGAACAAAAGAAAAGCATGAACAAAGTACAAACAAACTATGTACAAAGTTAAAAAAGGGACGCCTGGCAGATGTGAAACCTCGAAATTATTTTGTTTAAGGTATATGCATAAAAAACAGATTGACATGAGATACGACAGGAATTAGATAGTTATAAAGAGAAGATAAAGCTTTGCTAATTTTTTACCATAAAATAATGACTATTCATTTTCAATTCATAATAAACCATACAAAATGATATTTTTAAACTCATATGGTAATATAAATTAGCCGATAGCGTATTTGTGCCATCTAGCGTAATCTTTAGGTACCATCGTGAGAATCAACCAATTTTCGTTCGATAAAATGACTTTACCTATAGAATTAAGTAGATGGCACTATTAAAATTTTATATACTGGAAATAACTAAAGAGAGTTCTTTAAAAACCTCAATACATTCGTCTGTATTCTTTTGATTTTATTACATTAAAATTTGGGCGTCACGTTAAAAAAAGATTGTAACACTTATTTCTTATAAAATTAAGCCTAGTTGTCTCATATTTTAAGCTGCCGTTCAAATTGATATTTTTAATTCATATGGTAATATAAATATTGAGTTATTAAACCTTTAAATACGCCTAACTTAGGAATCGGTGTTCCGATTCCTACCAAGGATGATACGTGAGCCTATTGAAATTAAAAAACATCCTAATTTCAATAGAGAAGGAGGCTGGGTACTACCACCTGCTTGGGATCCTATAATCAATAAAATTAAAACTAAACCCAACCATACCACTGCAAGACCTCAGGACATAGTCAGTTCATTTTGCATAGATCGGACCATAAACAATTATTAAAAAAGCTGAAGGTACTCCGGGTTTAACAATGACATCGGGACGTCAGTCATCTCAGTCCCCGTGACCATGGGTGCTGGAAAGCGCCCGAAACGTCGGGAATTAAAAATAAAAGTAAAAATAAACGCGATAAAATCCGTAAAAGTAGTTTTAATCATGTATAGTGTTCGCGTAAATATAAGAAATCATTATGAAAACTTTAATACTAAAGAGTCCTGTACCTATATTTAAAGTATGAAGAAATGTTTATTGAATATTATATTTCATTTTAAAGATTTTACCTTTTCCTCGCCGATTAGCACTTCAACACACTTGTATTCATCACAATGAACACTATTATCCTCCCATTTTCACTGAAAATCTTTGAAAAAGCATAAATTTTTAACAAACACAACAAAAACAAACATAAACATTGAAATGTGAAGTGAACTTGCGTACGAATGGCGCGCACCCCATTCGCTAGTCGCTAACGAACTCCTAAACAACTTCATGGCAAAGCCAGCCTTGTGGCTCAATAGTAATTGCTATATAAACATTTCGTAGTTATATTTCATTATAGAACATTTTGCCACAGGTTAGAAAGGGAGCGATCGCCTTCTCGAAAGCCCGGTAAAAAGCCCACGCGTGCGAGGGAGAAAACCAATCGCTCAATTCAACTCTCCTTATATGTATGACAGCAGTATTCGTAAGGCTACGAGGTCGAACAGAGTGCGCGGGAAATTTGAAATAGTTTGAAAGAATTTACGAGTTATTTTATTACTTGATATAATTGATTGATTCATCTTAATGAGGCAAGCCGGGCTTCTGGGCTTGTATAGAGGCTTCGCCACTGCAGTAGACCCATAAAGGAAATTATATTTAAATGGCAAATTTAGTGCATACATTACTACTACTAATAAATAAATAATATACAAAATGTTACGTAAATTATATAAACTATACAACATGTAACAAAAACTCTGTGGTTTCAGTACAGTATTCAAGCGTATAGAAATAATTTTTTTTCTTCAAAAAAACACATTTAAAAAAAAAACTATTTTAATGGAAAAAAATTAATTTGCAAATTATATGTGGTTTTATTTCCTCTAATTCACATGAGTATCGATAATGCGGGGTATTTGACAATCCTTTTACTCCTCGGTCAATGCAGAGATAATAAAACCACATAGGGGAGACTGGGAATTTTTTTTTTATAAAGTGTCGCAATTTTTTGTTTGTTTGATTGTTTTACCGGAATATAGGTTTGTTTAAATAAGTAATTATTCGGGTTATTAATTTAAAAACAATTTTAGATACCAGACTATTAGAAGTGACATAAATGAATTAATTCTGGGAAAAGAGGCGTGTAACTTTTAGCCCCGCGCCAGGGGCTGGTTGTTACACTATAAGAGGCAAAATGTTACAACAAAAACCAAATGTAATATAACACTTTTTATGACAGTTTATAACAATTATTATGTATTCAATGTCAAACTACATTTTCTATAGGGTAAAGAAAGCAAAGAGTGCGCAGTTTTTAAAATTTATATTTTTTTTTAATCAGTTTTCGAATCACATGATTAGTCTTATGTTTATGTTCTTCTGTGGTTCTTTAAGAAAATTATTTCAAAAATTAATATGGACTAAAATTACTTAAAAAATAATTAAATTGTTAAAAACTAAAGTTTGTCTCATGCGCACTCTTAAATAGAAGCATTCTAAAGAGTGCGCACTTATAACCATCTATACAAGCTAAGAGTGCGCTTATAAACAATTATCACATTTAAAATTTCCAAAACCAAGGTAGTCGGTGCACTCGTCATGCCACCAAGCCTCGCACCGACCGCACTGGATCCAGTCTTCATCTGGAGGCTCAGTATAAACCTCCATGCAAAGAGGGCAGCGAATTACTTCTCTGCCTGTACCTGTTTGTGCCAAAATGGGTCTATTTTGATTATTATTCTTTGTCTTTGTGGTTTTTGCTGTTTGCGGTCGCTTCTTTTTTGTTCTCACTCGCACTTGAGCACTCGTAAGTATTTCAGATTTTTTTTGTTTTATATTTCTTTTCTTTTGTATATTAGCTTTTGGCAAGAGACGGATGTCGGATGGTTTTATAAAGAAGGTGGACGGGGATGCTGTGGATTTATTAGTAATATCTCTTATAGGTTCATTGATTGGCGCAGCATCTTTAGATTGTGAAAGTAGAGCAGAACTGTCGCAGCCTTCTTTTGAAGCTTCAGCTAGATCACAATGTGATGGTTGAGCAGATAAACCTAGTGCAAGTGAACCAACACAGCATTTGTTTGCAGTTTCAGCTAGATGACAATTTGATGGTTGAGCAGCTAAGTCTAAACTGTCTCCTGTGCCTACAGTTTCTGTAACAACAGATGGCATTTGTGACTCAGCCTGAGTTGACGTTTGTTCGTTTTCTCGCGATTCAGTTAGTGGAAATGGATGATCGGTTACTTCCGATGGGGAAAAATCTTCATCTGTAAACACTTGGTCGTTAAAAGGCCAGATACCACAGGATTCAAAAGCTTTTTTAGCTCTTTCCATTTTAGCAACGTTTAAATATGCTGTTCCAAATAGTTGGACAACCTGAAACTGTGTGATAGCTTGACCAGGATGAGAAACTTGCCAGTTGTCGCAAGCTGTAGCGTAAGCTTTTTTCAGTGGGCCAAAAAATCCTGTATCTAATGACTGCATGCGATGGCTTGTATGCGGTGCCAAGCTCAAAAGAACTATTCAATTTTCACTAGCTAATTCAATAGCAAGTAAGCTCAAATGAGAGGAATGGTTATCCAAAATGAGAAGGACAGGAACATCTTTGGATGGTCTTACCATCTGAATGAAGTGGTTCAGCCACTGAACAAACAAATCAGAATTCATGTATCCAGAATCAGATACAAGCGGCAGACAATCGTCTGGAGCTCCTATCATCAGGGCTGGATTCTTGCGCTTTCTTGAAAAAATCAGTGCTGGTGGAACAAATGATCCAGTAGCTCCCATACAGCAGACAGCTGTTACAGTTTGACCTCGTTCTGCAGAAACTATTTTTCCCACAACTTTTTTCCCTTTTTGTGCATAGACTTTGGGTAATTTGTTTGGTACTGTCTGCAGACCTGTTTCATCCATGTTATAGATTTGTCTACCGACAAATTTATATTTTGTTACGACTATTTTAAGGTTGTCATAAAATCTTTGCACTTGAACACGGTTAAAGCCAGCAGCGCGCGCTACACTCGTCTTTTCCGGCTGACGTAAGCTAAGTTGATGTCTTCTTGCAAAATTTTCCACCCACACTTTGCTAGCTTGTTTTTTTTTCTTTATTAAATCTATGGTCAAGACCATTCTTTTCTGCCATATCGTAAACAATCCTACACAATTCCTATTTTGTAAGACCGCAGAAACAAGTACCAAATTTTTGGCAATAATCTGCCAGGCATTCCTCTTGTTCGGGAGTAAATTTTTTTTAAATCTGCCTAATGACAAGGGAACTGTTCCCGCTTTTAATCTTTTTCTTAAAGTAGATTCTGTTAACATTTAATGACTCCGCAACAGACCTTTTGCTTTGACCACTTTCTATTCTTCTTTTAGCTTCTTCCAAAATATTCTCGTTGAAAACTAGCTTTCTATCCGATTTTCTCTTATATTTACACATACTTTCTGCTTTAGCGATCCTATAAAGAAACAAAAACTATTGAATTCATTCAAATCAAATGTCATACTAGCTAAGAGTACGCATGCGCACTCTTTGCGTATTCTTACCGCACACGACTTTTTGAATATAAACTATGATAACCTCCAAACATACAAAAATGGCGTCATACATTTTCTCTGAAAGTAAAATTTTGTAACCACATTTTAAGAATAATCTACATTCACAGGCTTAATCAACTTACGAACCTTACAATATGGATTTTAAAATGCTTAAAAATAACATTAAAAGTGCGTAAAATAGAAAAAATTGCAATAAAATTTTGTATACATACCGGAGCAAATCAAAAACTTGTTCACTAGCCCGGCACATGACCTGCAATTGCTTGTGCCCCACAATATTTTTTCAAATAGTAGAAGTGCGTACTCTTTGGTAGTGCGCACTCTTAGCTTTCTTTACCCTATAACAGTTTTTTGCCTCATTAAAATAAAAACATAGTAACTTCGTTGAACAAAAATATAATATTATTTTTACACACTTTTAGCCCCAACGCCAAAACTGACCTTTTAAGGTTAAGTAGTAAAAACACAAATAAGTATAACTGTATAAACGTAAATTCGTTGCAATAAGAAAGGATTAGGGCACACATATCACAACACACACATATCTGCTTTAAAGGAAAAGAGGTTTTAGACAAATATTACGAAAAAACGAAAATGTTACTAACATGCGGTTTTGACGGCAACATGTACGGGCTCCTCTCACAAAAGCCCTGGCGCCACAGGTCCGCGTTTCAATACAGCGTTCTCAGTTTAGCCACCGTTGCCGCTGTAACTACATACCCCTATCACTACCAGCCCCAGTCTCCCCTACAATTTTTTTTGTTGAAATTAATTTTTATTAAATGTCTTTTTTTGAAAAAATTAATTCTATACGCTTGGATATTGATTCTGATAACGCACTTAGCGGGAACCACAGGGTTTTTGTTACATGTTGTATAGGTAAAAATTATATAGGTTTTTTAGGTTTTGGTTTTGTCCACTTCATATTTTATAGTATAGAGTTGTTAAAATAGTATTTTATTAAAGAATTTATCTTTATTTATAAAAAATACGTGTCACATTGTTTGTTCGCGTTGAACTTCGATACCACTCAACCGACTTTAATAACATTTTGTAAATGTGTATTGCTTGCTCCAACTTGAGAGGTAGAACAGTTTTCATACCGATAAGTGACCCGCAATTTTTTTATTGCGAATTTAAAGATTTTTTAAAGGACGTCGGAAAGGGCAGAACAATATCTGTCTGGCCAGTTTAGTATGTATTTACAACAAGCAAGTCTTTTACATCCCTTACTACATATCGGATTGTGATTTATTCGTGCGACAGAGACGATGCTCCTCAAAGTTTAACTAATTAGATCATAGCTTATAATGTCTTAAAACTCTATGTGTAATATTTAAAGACAAGTACTGTTCCTTGTTTAATTAAAACTATCTTGTTGTATACATACAGAGCCTATATTTACTTGCATTTTAACGCAAAAATTATTATATTTAGGTTCTTTGTTATAACTCTTTATTATAGCTTACTTAAGTATTTACTATCTGTCTCTTTCTAATGTCATGTAGTGAAGAGAGAAGAGAGAGAAAGAGGGAGAGAAATCAACTTTAAGCATTTAAGTTGACGGCGATTTTTATGAGTAAGGCCCTAAGTTAATCAATTATTAATTTACCCATTATATTATATTTATCAATATTTGTTTACCCACAAGGATTACGAGAATTAATTTTCCTGTTCTAAGACGAAGTATTACAATAATATTGATTTTTAATCGAGTCTGGATGCGAGAATAAAAAAATGCTATGGTTACAATCTCGTTATGAGCTTACATAAAAATATTTTGTTATATACTCCTATTAGTCTTTTCATATTTCTCATTCTATGTAATTGTGTTATATATTTTTTATTTAATAATTATAAATAAAAAATAATATGATATAACAGCCTTTAAGCTGTTCGACATGCAAAGATATCATATTGTATCATTCGTTTAATACAGAAAGTGAGAGTATTTTTAATAACAACTTTTACTGCATACTTTTTGTTTCTTACATATCCTTTATTCATCATTATTTAAGCATTGCGTTATATAAATGAAAAAAAGGAGGGGTTATTATAAAAAAGACATCTACGGCAGTTTAATATACTTTCCACGTTCTCTTTTTTATATTTTAAATGGATGATGAAATTGGTATAAAGGATGTTATCCAGCTATTTATGGTGTAACTTGTGGTTACCAACAAACTATGTTTAAAACAGTTTCTGAATATTATGAAATAGAAGTATATACATAGTAGTACATAAAATTGAGTTAAAATTCAATTTTATGTTTGTTGATTGTATTGTATATAGCCAAGAAGAAAAGGTGAGAAATATTATTATACAATGTTTGATCAAATAGCTCTCTCTACCGATGTTTGTAAAAATGTGTGCGAAAAAGATTTCCTTGAGACATTTATATCATTATAATATTAAAACCGTGCATATTCTATCTTTTTGTAGGGTACTATTAACGCAAATTAGACTTATTTTGTTGAAGTTATGTAACTGAGAGAAATATTATCTTAACCTAAATATTTCTTGCCATTGTTTTCTGAGCTTTTTATTGATCTTCATTTACTGATAGCTAGCTTCCATATTACTAGAACCCTAGTCGTAGATAATGCAAAATAAATAAAATTAGTCATTATTGTAAGGCTAAGGTAAGGTAAGGCTTTCTGTACAAATAAATTTTATTATTGTTAAAATGGTATTTTTTGTCTAACATATTATTTACCGTCTACTTCACTCTATGTTACATTTATACTTCAGTCAATGACATTGATTTTCATTGATTGATGTCATAGAGCAACAAGGGCCACCGGCCACTGACCTTTATATATATAGAGGTTAGTGGCCACCGGCGGACTAGAGGTAAGCCATAGTGTTTTTTCCCGATATCTGTCATTTTCAATCGACTGTCACTACGAAACTCATGCATTTAAAACAATATACTAACAATTTCACATACACTTATATACGTTATACCAGCATCGCTCGGTGCCAGCGACAACTCTGGTACCAACTCGGATCAGTCGCTCGACCGATCTGCATATTGTATTAGGGCGAGTGGCCTGTGTGTAAGGATCTCCTAGGTGTGCGTTGTTTGTGATTAACCGTGGCTGCATACAACCGCCGGGACGACATACTCCGCCGATCGTTGAGTCCGTTACTCCGTGAGGCGTCGAGGTCACCGGCCCCTAGGCAGATTCTTAGGCACTTTAAAGCGTTCCGTGCTTACTGTGTCTAGTCGCGTCTTTAAAGTGCCACCACCGCACTTCCCCCAACCCTTTTGCTATAAAAGGGGTAGGCAGTGTCCATTGTGTCGAAGCTAACGTTTTTACCATCCCTACCATTCGCGTCGCGCATCACTAGTTGCTGTCGATCGTCTGGTAATTAGATAGGGCCCTTAGTAGATTACTGACTCACTAGATAGGTAGGTTATTATCATTATGTCTGATAAGGACAAGGGGGAGCCCCCTCCCAAAAATAGAAAACCACCGGACCGTCCTGGCGTTTTGGAGAGGCCAATCGCCTACAGGGACATTTTTAATCCCGAGCGGACTAGAGTAGTGTCCTCCTACTCCCAAATCCAGACTAGAAAGCCTTCGTCGCCGGGTAAAGAGCCCGCACCGAGGGCCGCGCTCTCGCCCGTCGTACCTGAGTGTACGACCGGCCTTGAACCGTTGCCCCTACAATAGCGGGAAAAGAAAACGACACGAAGGCACACTCCATCTGAGACCGCTGCATCTCTCCAGGAGAAGAGGCAATGCTTCGGATCTCCTTATTCCTCGGAATATTCAACATCCGAAGAGGAAAGCGATCGCCGATAACCGGAAAGGACCAAGATCCGCAGAACGCCACCCAAATCCAACCCCTCCCAGATCATCGGATCACTATAGCAGCATGGATGCTGCTGATCTGGAGCAAGGAGGAGAAGGGTCGTATGGGTGGGACTCAACCACCTATGCGACCCTAGCACCATCTACCGGGCACTCATTGTCTGCGCCAAGTACCAACCCGTCACGCCGGCCATCGGATGATGGTCAAAGGCCTTCAACCAGTTACGCCCAACTGGCAGCTGCCCCAGCAGTACCAAGGACCAGGACAGCTGAGGCACTAAAAACCAAACCGGACGAGGAAACCCAAAAAAGATCCCGCCCATAGTGGCAGAGAGCCGCCCGGATTGGACGAAGCACTTCGAAACCCTAAACAAGAAGAAGGGCCACCCACCGAATGCTCGTCCATTCGGGAAAGGGGTAAGGTTCACCCCCCAAAGTCCACATTATAGAGATCACTGAGAAAGTACCAGTCATGTCCTGGTACTGTTACACACCCGAAGAAGATAAGCCCCCAAAAGTGGGCATACGGGGACTGCCAGTGGCCACGGATCCATCCGCAATAGAGGGGGCTATCAGGGCCAAAATATTCCCAATCAAATATGTGAAAGGGATCCCCCCTCGTAGAGGCGCCTGAGTGTCCTCTACTTTGTGCAGATGGACCGCCTGAGCCTGGAGCGCCTAAATGAGCTTTACCAAGTCGACGAACTCCTGTATATGAAAGGAGTCGTCATAGAGGCCTGGCAAGGAAGA